GTGTGGCAACTAAGGACAGCGTGTGCTTCCGAAGGCGGTAATCCAGGGAATCCGGACTCAACGGGCGCCTCGCTCGTTCCTTGCGCACCTTGCACCCAGCTTGCACTAATGCTCCATACAAAAAAAAAAAAAAAAAAAAAAAAAGAGAAAAATATTAACGAACTTTAGTGTCCGCAGCATGCCCATTCCACACTGTCTTTTTTGTGTTTATTTATTTGTTTTTTCGAAGTTTTTTTTTTTAAGTTTTTTCGTGAAAATATTTGCGTCGTAAAAGAGCTGGTTGGTCGGTGCTGGTTTGTTGTCGATTCGGTAACTAACAAACACAGGAGACCAAATTAAAGTTCACAATCTTTCCACATCATGACTTTCAGCTGGCTGGATTGGTACCAAGACCAAGCTTACAAGTAAATTTGGCTGTCTCTAAAAGACAGATTTATTTATCTTCTAAATTCCTCTAAATTTATTTACTCTCTAATTTCCTCTGGGTCCTCTAAATTTCCGCTTGCGACACTTCCCTCACTTCCGAAGCACTTCGATGGTGAAAAATTTTTTGTGAATCGGATTTCTTTAGCTCACGAATGCGGCGGGCTATGCTTCTCGGGACGCGCCGACCCACGTCTTCTGTACAGCCCATTTAGGGCATTCGGACGGCACTCCAATGCGTGCTTAGAGTGCCATCGGACGTGGGCACTTGAACGCTTGGCAAGAGTACCACGGCACTCTAGACACAGGCTTTTTCAAAGGCCATGCTAGATGGAGGAAGCTACCGCTAGTTACAGAACATACAGACAATTTCGCTCATTCATTTTAACTGAGCTTCTGTCGTCCGTGTTTCGTACCTCGGGGACATTGAACATAAGAAGCTTAGCATACTTTTTAACATATCGTAGGGCGACATAGAGCAGTCTACGTTCTCCCCCAAATAATTGAGCTATCGCTTGCTGTGTAGAATCAACTGAACGTAAGGTGAACTCGTCAATGGCAGTTTAAATGTGGCTCTGTTGGACAGCGAAATAAGACTTCTGTAATACACACTAATGTATCTATATTTAAAGCCAGTGAGATCCGTACCACAAATATCGATATCCGGAATGCTACACGGTGCTTCCGCTGTACATTAGGAACTGTTTGATGAACAGCGGAAAAGAGCAGCGATCTTGAATGTTCTCTTATATCGAAAACCTTCCTGTCAAGGGAGCTTCGGAGAGTGAGGTTAAAACAGTTAAAGGATGTAGCAAACTGTGCAGAGTTAAAGGTTTAACCCCCCAGAGCTTTTCTTGAACAGAGCAGAAGACTAATCGACTCCCTCGCTTCGGAAAGTAAAATGTAAATATTGAAAAAAAAAGGTAGTAGTCAAGCCAAGTTTATCTAATGACTCAAAACAAAGACCGCATAACAAGTTTGGAAATCATCGCTAATAACTTTTCCAAACGCTCTGGCTCCGTCGTTTATTTTCTCCACGGCGGTGAAAATAAGGGAGCCCCTAGTGTCACGTACCATAAACCTGGCTTGCCGCCATGTATAGGTTTTTTGAACCTATACATGGCTTCGAAACGAACGCCGTGTTTAGGGCGACGCTTTATGAAATGGTCGTCACGTGGCGTATACAATAGACCGCGCGAAGCCGACCTCTTCTGTCACGGAGGGAGGTTTTCCACTTTGCTTGATTTTAATGCGAATGTGGAAAAAATACTTTTTTTATACATATACCTGTTCCTACGATCAGTGAGGTCGGGCTCAGCAGTAACTTGAAACGACCCCCCAAAAATATAACAATGCCCCCAAAACATCCCTGGGCTACATAACAACCCTAGGCACTTATGTAACGAAACATAATCGCACACGCGCGTCAGCATCCGCTCATACACCCGTTTAGACACTGATCTATATGTTTATTGTTTAATATATCTGTGTAGCAAAAACATTAATTGCCTATTGCTTGGATAAAGGAGTGTCCCCCGCTCAAATGATTTTCCTGCCGCAGGTAATAATTAAGTTAATAAATACTGAAATATAAACCCGTCAAGGCAGGCTGTACCAACTCATTTATTAAAACATCCTTGCCCATCTCCCCCCCCCCCAAAAAAAAAAAAGAAGAAGAAAAAAAAAGAAAAAAAAGAAAAGCGGATAGGAAAAAAAGGTTTCCCCGAGAAAACGAAAAAAATACCTGCGCCGAACAGCGTCGAACTTGCGCCGAACCCATAGCGGCGCCATCTATCGACAGCCCGTCATATCGCGAGGAGAAACTAACTCTCGTTACAGTTACTCTCGAGGTCGAGGGAGGGTTAAGGGAGAGTATCATCGAAAGAAGCGGTCGGGAAAGAGTAACTTCCATGCAGATAGAGTTAAAGGAGAGTAAGTTAAGGCACTTACTCTCCCTTGACACCTTTTTTTTTTAGAGTGCGGTCACGGAGCCGAGCATCCGTGCGGTCAACCTCGCGGCAGCGGTCCGGCTCGCGGCGGAGATCGAAGTCCAGGAGGAGGTCCAGCTCCCGACAGCGAGTCAGCTGGGCCGGGGTGACCGACCACAAGGCCTCGGAAAAGAAGAGCAAGGAGGCCAAGACGCAGAACGACAAGTTAGACGAGATCCTTGTCATGATGCGACAACTCCAGGAAGAAAACAAGGCTCTACGCGTGATGGTAGAGAAGACCGAGAAGGGGAACGCATGGCTGAGGACACAGCTTCAGCAGAAAAGCAACGAGACGGAGAAGGAACCGGAGAAGGCTTCGCCACCCGCGAAGAGGAAGATGGACGTAAGACCGGGACAAGAGACGGTCGCATTGGATAAGGCCGAGGCGCCGCTGCAGCAGGAAGTTAACAAGCAGGTGGTCGAGCTGATGTGCAACCCCGAGTGGCTGACGCAGCTGGCTAGGCACATGGAACAGCTACGTACGGCACAAGTCGTTAGAAACCAAGATGGTGAACAGTAAAAAGTACATAATTTGGCAGTCGAATTGCCGCGGGTTTGGCAAAAAGAGGGGCAACCTAGAGCAATACGTGAATAACAAAGACGAAAAGGAACGACCGGATTTGATTGCCTTACAAGAGGCGAAACAACTGGCCAAACTGTCGGGTTACAAGTCCTACGGCATGGATACCAAGGAAAAGACGCAAGTGGTCACGTTGGTCAAAAGGAACATACCGGTCGTCGTTCATGACACAGGCGTTTCAGCAGTAGAACACGTGCTAATCGAGATAATCTCGGCGAAGAAGAAAGACCAGCGCAGCCTCTTCGTGCTGAACATCTACAGCAGCCCGGCGAAACGGCACAGATTCGCTTCCCTCTTCCAAGCGACCCTGAACATCGCCAGACGCCAGACACTGGTCGTGGTTGGGGACTTCAACGCCCAACATCCGGACTGGGGATACAAGATCGAACGACCCAAGGGCCGAAAGCTGTGGATCGACTCTCACGAATGCGGACTATCCCTGATCACCGATCCGGATCATCCGACGAGGAGAGGAGCCGCCCGACAACAAGACACTACACCAGACCTTACGTTTGTGCGCTATGCAAAGGATGCAGAGTGGACAAACACGTGGGAATACCTGGGTAGCGACCACTATGTGCTAAAGATAACGATCCGCGCGGGCCCTGGAAAGCCGCGGGGCAGAAAGTGCAAGATCACGGAATGGGATAAGTTCCGAGAGCTGATGGGCGAATACGAGACGGAAGACGTCACAAACATTGGCGAGTGGATGGAATGCCTGCTGGCGGCTGCCGAGCGGACGACCAAGGTGATTCCGGAAGAAGCGGACGTGGCCGCTGCGGATAGCCGACTCTTACACTTATGGGAGGCTAAGGCTAGTCTGCAGAAGCGGCAGCGTACGCAACGTAACAATCGGAACCTTCGAAGAAAGATCGCTGAACTGAGCAGAACGATCGAGACGTACGCTGACCAGGTTACGCGTCAACAGTGGCAGGATACCTGCGAAGGGTTCGACGGTCAGCCCAATGTACCCAAAACTTGGAACATACTGCGGCACCTACTGGATCCGGACGGTTGTAAGACGGCTCAGCGTAGCAAGATGTGCGAGATCATTCGAAGTCACAAGGGTGACGAGGACGACCTAGTAGAGGAGATCCGTAAGCGATATATTGGTGACAACCCGCCGAGAACACCCACGACATACGGCGGTGCAGACAACGAGGTGCTAGACGTGGACATTTCTGAGTTTGAAGTTGCCGAGACACTGCGCAACTTGAAGACCAAGTCTGCTCCGGGACCGGACGGTGTCACCAACAAGATGCTGCGGAACCTGAGCAACGAAGCCATAACCGGCATCACAAAGTACATCAACGAGTGCTGGAGACAAGGCCAGCTACCACGGCAGTGGAAAACGGCCAAAGTGGTCCTGATCCCGAAACCAGGCAAGAAGCCTCAGCTCGACGCTCTGCGCCCAATCTCGCTCACGTCCTGCGTGGGCAAGATAATGGAGCACGTCGTTCTACGGAGAATCAACGACTTCATGGAGAGGAACCAATTGTTCCCTCACACCATGGTTGGATTCCGGCCACACTTGTCTACCCAAGACGTGATGCTGAGGCTCAAGCACCAAATCATAGATGGCGAAAAAAGCTCTCATCTCGACACTAGGGTGATCCTGGGCCTCGACCTTACGAAGGCCTTTGACACTATCAGGCATGATGCGGTCCTTGAGAACCTGGAGAAGCTGGGCGTAGGGCGACGCACGTTCAACTACATTCAAGACTTCCTCAGCGATCGGACGGCGCAAATCTCCATCGGTGGCGTCACGTCCGACGACATCAATCTAGGCGGGCGAGGCACACCTCAGGGCTCGGTCCTGTCGCCATATCTATTTAACGTGGCGATGATTGAGTTGCCTGCGAAGCTCAGCAAGATCGAGGGGCTGCACCACAGTATATACGCAGATGACATCACGCTCTGGATGACCGGCGGCTGTGACGGGTTCATCCAAGACACGCTACAAGAAGCGATACGGACGATTGAGGAGTAGGTCACTCCGAGGGGCCTAACTTGCTCTCCACAAAAGTCGGAGCTCCTCCTCCTCAAACCTGTTCGGTCCCGCCAGCTGCCGTCGGACATCGCGCTCTACTCGCAAGGACTGCGTATCCCGTCGGTGAAGAGCATTCGCATCCTGGGTCTGCGGGTCCAGGCGGATGGCAACAACTACGAGATGATCGAATCGCTCAAGGCGTCAACTTACCAGATCACCCGGCTTATTTCACGCATCTCAGGCCGTCACTTCGGAATGAGGGAAGGAAATCTTGTACGCCTCGTCCGCGCTTTCGTCGTGAGCCGGCTGGCATACGTCCTTCCCTTCCTACGGCTCGGGGTGGCGGAGAAAGCCAAACTAGACTGCTTGATTAGGAAGGCCTACAAGCGAGCACTTGGCATCCCGGATTCTACGTCAAACGAAAAGCTGGCGGCGCTGGGCCTACATAACACCGTGGAAGAGATCGTCGAGGCGCAACGGACGTCTCAGCTCGAACGGCTAACAAAGAGCGCGACCGGGCGTCACATTCTCGAAAACCTGGGCATCCGCTACGAAAGACAAACGGGCGAGAAAATAGACGTGCCGAGACGGGTCCGGGAGAAGCTTACCATCCCAAACCTGCCACGTCACATGCACCCCGTGCACCATGTGGAGCGACGAACGGCGAGAGCCAAGGCCCTTCGAAGACTAGAGAAGGAAGAGGGCGTCTACTACACGGACGCTGCGAGGTACGACAGGGATGCCATGGCCGCAGCCGTGGTTGACAAGCAAGGGAAGATCGTTGCGAGCTGCAGTGTCCGGACGACAGAACCGGAGGTAGCCGAGGAAGTGGCCATCGCTCTGGCACTCAAGCTGCAAGACGCTAAAATCATTGTCAGCGATTCACAGATGGCGATTCGCCAATACGCCAAGGGACGGATCTCGCCGGTTACGCTTCGAGTACTAGGTGATCCTGAAAAGACTGCGAAGGTGAAGCTGATCTGGACTCCAGCACACTCGTCGCTCCCCGGCAACGAGGAGGCTCACGACGCGGCCCGAGGTCTCACTCGCCGGGCCGGAGCAACGTCGGACCCCTCCATCGAATCGTCGACGGGGGGCGACAGACTGGTTACGTTCCGAGACATCCTCGATCATTACGCCGGCGAAAGGATGCGCTACCCTCCGGCGCATCCCTCGCTGGACAAAAGACAAGCGGTAGCTTGGCGGCGACTACAGACAGGCACCTACCATAGTCCTGCCCAGCTCAGCGGATGGTATCCGGATCGCTACAAGGGAGACTGCCAGCTATGTGGTGCAAGAGCGACTCTTCGCCACATTATTTGGGAATGCAGCCGGCTCGACCGCAAAGCCCAGCCACTACTAAAAAAGATCACCAACCAAGAGAGCTGGGAAGCTCTTCTTCTCTGCACCGACCTTGAGGTGCAGGAACAAGTCGTCCGACTGGCCGAGGACGCCGCTGGAGTCCAAGGGATTCTGGCCGTCGCCTAAGGGGTGATTGGGAGGGGACTCTTAGATGGGCCTCTGACCAATCGCTTAGTCTTTCTGGGCGCAATTAAAGGTTGCCTGCTGCTGCTGCTACTGCTAAAGATATGATATATGAAGACCGTTCACAACTTTAAGAAACATATTGAAATTGTTCTTTATGCCGCTCAAGGAGAAATGGTTATGCTGGACACGGTGGCCACTAACTCGAGGGTGACTGGAATGATCACAAGGACTGCAGGGTGGACATGATTTGGTTTCTGGGCTCCGGTTTCCTTAAAAGCAAGGAGGGTGGCCATTTTGGGCGCCTGCACAAGACAAAGAGACCGTCTGCAACCTTTGAAATTGAGGCAAAAACTCCCTATGAGGGTGCACAGAAATTATCACGACCTCCTAGACCTAGGGTCTGAAACACGCGGCCCGCAGGCAACCGGCTACGAGTCCCGGTTCCCATGTCTCGAGCGCTAGGAATGGCATGCGCTATAGTGATCTCATCTCGTCGGTTAATTTTCGCTCGAAAAGTAGCTCTGCTGTTTTAACATGTTCACATAGTCTATACATATCTGTGTTCATTTGCCCTTTGTTTTGATTTATAGTTCGCTTCCCCGGTTTCGTAACGTACAACAATTCCGCTACTAGGCTGCAAGCGCGAGCTATTCGTTGAAGGGTGCACCTGGGGCTGCGCGAACTTTCGATCAGCAGGAGCAACTGCCAAAGATAAAACTACGAGCTCGGGATTCTCGTTTTAGAAAAGATATCACCATTAAATCATCAAAAATAGTCAGGAGAGCAACAACTTTCATATTAACTGATTGTTTTTTTAGAGGCACGTAGTGCTTAGTTAATTCCTGCGTGAATTGAGCAACGGGAACGACAGTGCACTTGTTATATTAAAATACTGTAACTTGTTCCATTATAAAATGTTCTTTTATTAAAATCGCCAGCAAGCTGGCGGGGCGGTGTCATTTTAATTCTTTTCACATCCGGTCAGGGCCCAAAGCAGTCTATAATCTCGTTCTGCGGACGCAGCTTGTGATACGCTTTCCGCACGTCGCGGTGCCTCCTCTCTAAGGTCACGTGACACTCACACGGCCTTGGATTGGCTCCGATGGCTCGTAGCATCCGCTGCGCTCGGACGTAAGGTGAAACGGAGTATAGTAGATACCTTTCACTTCGTAAGCATATTTTTTTCCGACTTCTCTTTCTTCACGTGACGATTTCAAACAGAGGAAAGAAAATGAAGTTTATTGAGCTTTTTAAGGGACTAAAGAAGGAACCGCCTGATATATATATATATATATATATAATTTTACCACGTAAGTTGGCGCCAAGGCTGAGCATATTCCGCCAGACTAGAGGCAATTAATGACAGTCCTTGAGTTTTAAAAGAAAACATAACCGATGGTTGTTTGTCTGATCTGAGTCTTGCTGAGTACACAGCTGCGAGTATATTATTGGGACCCGAGGTTGCGTCGCACACGGGCAATCACCGGAAGAGCGTCAGAGCAAAATGTGAAAGAACGTTTCACTGCACGCAAGCTGTGTGCAAGCAGCGCGATTGCCATCGACTGTAACCCTGGGGCGGCTGAAAACATCCTGTGTGCATTTCTAATTGCCGGATGGAGGGTTGAACATACTGTCTAGGTATATGTTTGTAGACCTGCGTTTCACATAAAACCATACTAACCAAAAAGCTATCAAATTACTGTCGACCGTGCCGTCCTTTATAATATATTCTGCGGGATATAAAACGGATACTTAACAACACACATCAGTGAAAACGTTCCTCTCAACCGGATGAAGCAAAGGAAAGGATACTGAATGTTGTTGTGAATGTTCATATACAATATTTATATATTTGTTCAACACAGTCCAGTCAGTGTAGTACGGCTCTGTCTCTAACCTAACGCCATATAGCTGATCGCCTTTTTTTAAATTGTACGCTAGAGGAACTGGGCTGGTTCTCTGAAAGGCTGGTTTTGTTGTATTTATATTCAGGTTTGTTTTGAAATATTTTCAATCGTGGGACTATTTTCAAGCTCGACCCTGTACGCAAGAAACCGGTTTCAGAGGAGAGGATTCTCGCAACGATTCTTTAATTAGAGCTTTTCTCTTTCTAAATAAAATCACTTTCTATGATTGTAATTTTTTTTAAATCATACCAATTGTTTTAAATATTGAAAAAGAACATATTTTGTAGCAGACGGCGCGCACTTGCGCTATCTTTTGACAAGTGGCCGAAATGTGAGGTTGAGTGGTTAAGGAAAAGTGCTGATTCTGTCCCTGAAGCAGAGGATTCTCGTCTCAAATATTTCCTCACGCTTCTTCCTCGTTCTTGCAGTGAACCAGTTCGTCTGGAGAGAAAAAAGAAGAAAAAAACAACAACAACAAGAAACGCGTTACAAGGGTCACGAGCAAGTTCTCAAAAACTTCTAGTGCCTATAAATAAGCTGTCCAGTGCTGCCCGCCATGTTCCGACACCACGAAAGGTGCAAATATTGAACTACATATGATAGCGACGACGTACGGCAATTTTGTAGCGTGAGCTACACTGGCCGAGGTCGAGCAGTTTTGCGTGGCTCCTGGAGAGCCGTGCTGCGCATGCGCGAGGAGCAGTGACATCACACGGCGCAGCTGGCGCGCCGGAGCTCCTCCGCCGCCGCGCGCGCCTCGCCGGACTGCGCATTCCAGAGGAGTGACGTCGTAGCCGCGGCAGACGCACTGGCGCCGCCGCGTGCCCAGCTGTGCGCCTCCGTTGCGCAGTAGCCAAGTCTGACGCTGCACCGGAGCCGCTTGATAGCGCCTCTCAAGTTTTTTGTTTTTTTTTGGGGGGGGGGGGGGGGAGTGGGGGGGGGGGAGTGTCTACATCCACGCGCGGGGGGTGTAACCAAGTCGGGAGGAGATAGGGCTCCATCCACGCACTACGTCACTTCCGGCGCCCTACGTCACTTCCTGCGTAGACGGAGGCAGATCTCCTTTCGTCTTCTTTCATTTTTTTCCTTTTTTTTTGGTCAAGGAGTTTGGCCCTTTGTGTATTAGCACGGTCGCGCTTCCAACATGCCTCGAGTTTTGGTTGCCGGGGATTCGATGGTGAAATACTTGTCCCAGTATTTCCCATCGAATAACCGGGTGGCTGTCGAAGCGCGGGCGTTTAGTGGCATTAGGATCGAGGCTTCCTGCTCGATTTTGATGCTGCATGTCAATTTGCACGTAGGCACTAGGCACAAAAAACACTAGTGTTTGTGCCAGCGCGTAGATTGACAAGTACCATCGGCTGGCCGCTCAGATCCTGGAACGCAATCTGACGATCTAGATGGTCTTTTCTTCCGTCCTTCCGAGGCGGGAGAACATGCAGGTTCTCTTCGTTGAAGTGTCAGAATGCCGAGATCCAGGCGTAGAATGATCGGCACAGAGACGTGAACTGGCTCCTGCAGGAGTTCTGCCGCACGAAGGGCTTCGTGTTCATCGGTGATCTTGTGGACGAGTAGCATCGGCTACTGTTTTATTTGTCATGGAATAAACTGTTTCTGAAATATTTTACCCAGTTTCCTCGATTGAAGGCTCTCAGTATGTTTGTTATTACTGGCCGGGCCTAATGCATGTTTCCCCTTCTCTCGCAATCTTTGTGAGATTGCGAGCGTGCGCGCAAGTCAAGAACGTATGGAGCGGTGTGCTCGCACTTGTCCCCTTTGATGCGCATAAGCTCGCACTAAAACGTCTCGAACCAAGCCAACCACACACACGACGAAGCCTCACTGCCTCGCCTCGGCAGCGATGCACACATGGGCGAAGGCCCCGGAGGCCGCACCCGCACCAAGCCCAACCAATCCCGCACCACAATGCTGCGCGCCCAAACGCACGGATGGCACGCACGCTGCCCACACGTGTGTGTGACTCCTGGACAACATAACTATAAAGATATCTGTTGATACTATTGTTATGACGCATGATATTTGCTATTAGTCCTAGAAAACAGTAAAAAAATTGATAATTGTCTGAAAATTTGCAAGGTCCCGTGACATATTAACTTTAATACAACAATAAAATCTAACCTCTTTATTTTTATATCCTATATTTACTCATAAGAAAGCATAATATGTACATAAAAACAAATTGTGTTATTATATCATAAGTCACGTGACCTTTTGCGTGGATGGAGCCTTATCTCCTCCCGACTTGGCTACGTCCCCGCACGTCGATGTAGCCTCGGCCAATTTTTCCCTTACAGGAGCAATGCAACAATTTTTGCACTTTGCGCAAATACCGCTTAAAACGAATCCCCAACGTTAATGACCTATGAAACACGCGTTCGTTTTTCACCCCACGCAATAGAAGTGCCAGAAAAAAATTAAAGAAAAACGAGCAGCGTTCACCCCCTCACCTCGCAGCCAGAACAAGCGGCCACGTGATCTGGAGCCGATTATGTGCCGCCAGTGTTGATCATAGCCACGCGCTGGGGTTGGCAAAGCACAGGACACGCGCTGAGTTCCAGACATTGTTATGGCTCGGCTGTTGTCGTCGTTGCAGCGATTGGACACGGGTCACTACCCGGATGCTTCTCGAGCTAGTAATTATCACGAGCCCAAATCGAGTGCCCACGCAGGGCTCGGGTCCAATCTATGAACCTCATTCAAATATCGTCACTTGGGTGTTCTGCGATCCCCACGTTACGTCATCAAATTTTGCATAGGAGACATTGAACGAAAATAAATTGCTTTTGTCCTTGAAATTTCACCGCAACAAAGGAGTTTCTTGGCCAATGGCGTTGCGTGCGAGTATCCTTAGTTTTTTTTATAAAAAATAGAAATAGGAGGCCCAATTCAAAGTTCCCGCCAGTGCACTGTGACGTAACAGTGTACCGCAAGGTGTCGGGGCGGTCAGAAGGGAGGCATCGACATACGTCACTAAAGGTGGGTTCGCAGGAAGTCACGTGAGTTTCACTTCTCGTGCTCTCCGCGACCGTGCCTACGACGTTTTTTTTTTTTTTAATTTTCTGCTCTTTGTACGAGCGATTGCAGAAAACGAAGTTTCAGTTCCACTAGCTCTTTATCGCTGCACCGTTGGTTAGTTTGCGTGCTGTAAAAGTTGAGGACGGAGAGTCAGTGGATCGACGTGATGGAGGTCAATAGGGAGTTTT